ACTTCTGCGATGATAACCACATTATTATCTACCTCAAAATCAAACTTTCAATACAAAATCAAACTATCGACTACAAAATCAAATCAATTACTTTCAAAATTGGAAACTTGCCCTCAATATCGACCAAACCCAGGTGGTGCTATTCACCAGAAAAAGGACCTCCAAGAAGGATGTTATCATTGATAACAACTTCTCTTATGGGAAACGAAGGTAACGTACTTAAATGTAATTGTGGATAAAACCATGACATTCAAATATCATTTTAAAAACATTAAAATTAAATTCATAGCAGCAAAATATGTATTTTATTCAATTCTAAAGAAAAATTCCCCTCTCAGCACTAACAACTTCTAATTTTTAAAATGATCCTCACCCCCTATTGTCATATGCAGCACCCGCCTTCGGGGGGGGGGGGGGCTGTAAAGGCAAATCTTAAACTCTTACAAAGGGGCTTGTAACAAAACCCCCATAATATCACAAATTCACCTTGGTATTTCAGGAACAAAAATATCCGTAATGACACCCGTAAGTAGTATGCCACGTTGTATAGCGGACAGAAGTGACGTCATCATGGAAAGTCAATTGTTGCTCATTTCTGTCCGACCGGAAGCTGCTTACTTCTGCTGCACTGGAAAATGCTTATTTCTGCCTGCCTGTAGTGTTAGTTTCGGTTTCTGTTTTTAATTTAGTTTCGTTTTTTAAATATTATTTTCATTTATTACTTTTTTGAGGGTGGCAACACTTATTATTTTTATAATTTTATGACACTTATTATTTTTATGATGACAAAGTTTATAGGAATGGCAATACTTATAAACTTTGTTTTTTGGGGGAGAAATTGTATATTATGAAGTAATGACGTTATCTTTTATTCCATAATAATTAAATGATTTCATGATTTTACTGTAGTGGCGCCATCTATGTGGGAATGTTAGAAATAAAACAACTTTAAATCTATTTCAATATTTAAATCTGTTTTATTATTGTTCATTAAATATAATTAAGGCTGAGGATCGAACTCACTCCAATAAAAATCCTTCGTGGGTCAGTAGTTGGATATCATAACCACTGACCTTCAAATGCTTGCTAAGATACGTGTAAACCCAGAAGCAGAAAGTGCCTAAAACTGTGACGTACGTCGCAGAACAAACGAAATCCTACAGAACAATTTGTATCTTGAAAACTAACTATGTCAATTATTTATTAACGTGTTTAATCGATTAGTTTATATTAAATTTTGATAAATTTCACCAATTAATAGAAAATATCGATTAAATCTATATCGAAATAATCACAGTCACTTTTGGGTTCCAGTAGCAGAAGTAACATTAGAGATGCTAACTTGCTCCGCTTTGAGAAATAGTATTTTCCAGCGGTAACGAAATTTAAGTTACTTTTAGTTTAATATTTTTTCCACCACTAAATATGAAAAATCATATAACATTCAACTTAAAAGCATTAATTATTTGGTTTCTGTTATTTAAAGTAGGCGTAACTATGTTTATTTTACAAGGTATACTAATTAATTCGTTATCACTTTATTAAAACTTTTCAACAATTAGCATTTCTGTTACAGTGACTGGAAAGTAGCTTCGGTCGAAGTTTTTTACTTCCAGCAAATGCCTTAACCCTTTCGCGCCGACTGTCACAAATACGTGACAGCATGAAACTGTATCAATCAGGATAAAGAGATAAAACTGGTAATCAAAGTAATTCTTTAGCAGTTTATTTGTGGGCGGAGTTATAATTGTTTGATTTATTTAATTCACCATTACTTTGTTCAAAATAAAACTATTTAGTTATACTTTGAACTAACATTGATTATATATATGATTAAACTAACAATAATTAAAGAAAAAGCAAAGTAAGTCTGTCAAATTAGNCCTTTCAAAGAAAGCTGTAGCAAGATTGCAACTTGATTCTGATTTTGTACGAATGCTTTTCTGAATCACCCGTCCCCAAGGGGTTAAACCTGAAAGTGACAAGCTTCACAGATTCTATACTTTAATTATTATGAGGCGCCAGAGCAAATGGCTACCAGCTGCCTCAAGACCAAAAAATTACGTACCCAGAATCTCTTGCTAGCGATTCTGCACAGCTCCGTTGGAACTGTGTGCCATTTTAAAACCATTGATGCTTGTCATTACTTTATTTTACTTATTTCCTCCTCCACTAACTTCAAAAGCCTGCGGAGAAGGGTTTATATATGGGGTATATATTAGAGATGGGTCGAAAGTAACGAAAGTACTTATTTTTTAATCTCATGAAAAATGTTTGAATTAATTTATTTTTTATTAGAAAATGAATAACGACATATTTACATTATATTATCAATTATATATTAAACTTCTTTAAAATTACAAATGAATTGATTTACATCTAAGAAACATATAAAGGGAATTTGAACCGTATAAATTCGTTTATATTCAAAACATATTCGTTTTGTTATTATTATTTAATATTATAATAATGCAATAACTTACTTTATTTTAAAATTAGTAGTTCCTTTGAAAAGTATTTATAGCCGTTCTATTTTAAAAGTATCTATTTAAATGATACTGATTACAGAGCTAGGGAGAGTCATATGTTATCTATTTTCTCACAAAATTTTACAACGATAATTTCTGTCCGGGACTTATCCACGCCTTATCAATTAGTCATAATATAAAGCATAATATAGTGCTTCATACTTATTATAGAACGTGGGAATACAACTATTTCTCAGAAAATTCAATTCAATTACCTGCTCATTTAGATGTAAATAAAAACATTTATAGTAAAAATAAATTTGTTAAGAAACCTATGATGTATGCTCGCAGAAGTGCTTGGGTGAAACTTTGAATAAAATGTCATTTATTTTATTAAAATATATTTTGTTTTATTGATCATTTTCAGAAGTGAAAAAGTGTATACTATCAAGAAAAATTACACCCTTCAATAATTAACACAAAAAGTTTCAGAACAATAGAATTTTCTGAAAAACTGGAAAATTACTAAAAAAAATAAAACTTCTTTTTTTTTTTTTTTTTGAAAAACTAGAAAATTACTAATATTGTGAAAAAATTTTTGAAAAACTGGAAAATAATTTTCTTAAAAGAGAAAATTTTTTTGCAAAACATAAATATTTTCTTAAAAGATTGAAATTTTTTTTTTATAAAAATATTTTCTGAAATATTAGAAAGTTTCCCTCAATAATAAAAATANTTTTTTTTTTTTTTTTTTTGAAAAACTAGAAAATTACTAATATTGTGAAAAATTTTTTGAAAAACTGGAAAATAATTTTCTTAAAAGAGAAAATTTTTTTGCAAAAACATAAATATTTTCTTAAAAGAATGAAATTTTTTTTTTATAAAAATATTTTCTGAAATATTAGAAAGTTTCCCTCAATAATAAAAATAATTTCTGATAAAATAGAAAATTTTGTTAAAAAGTTTGAAACATTTTTATAAAACTGGCAATTTTTTAACAAAAAGTAAAAATATTTTCTTAAAAGAGAAAATTTTTCAGACTTAACTTAAACTAATTAGACTGAACGCTTCGTTCTTGAAGAAAAAGCTAAAGCTCAGCGCCACCGTGACGTCACTGGCGAAAATCGGAGGTTTGGTGCGGCGAGAGTTTTTTCTAAGGAGTGAACTGGCCCTGGTCATCCTTCCCGTTTTCCACCTGCTTGGGTAGGCCCCATCCTCCGTTGAATTACGGCAGCTCAGTCTGAATAAATTTACTAAACTAATACAACTCCTATTAATGCTAATCACTAACTGCTTATTCGTTAATAATTATGTATCAAAAAAAAATAATATATTTTCTTCGATGTCCTTTCTATCTTCTTATTCCACAATATTATTTAACTACCTAACATTAAGTTTNAACTCCTATTAATGCTAATCACTAACTGCTTATTCGTTAATAATTATATATCAAAAATAAATAATATATTTTCTTCGATGTCCTTTCTATCTTCTTATTCCACAATATTATTTAACTACCTAACATTAAGTTTACTAATCTAAATAATATAACATCAATGGCTTTTGATTCAGATTGAAAACATATCATTTACGGAGGTGACCTTTTCGGCCAGGTACTCCGTTGCATCAATTACTAGTTTCCCCGCAGAAAAAATATTTTTATTACATACTCCGGCTATCAGCATCGTAAAACAAATACAGTACTGATAACCTTAATTTAATCTTCAGTTTTTTAGAAGAGGATCTTATGAGAGAGGTTATATGAAAAATTTATATGCTTTATAATTTTTTATATAATTTAGACTGGTAGATATTACTAATATTGAAATTGACTTTTGAATTTCATTCTTAGTTTATATATTT